AAAAGATAAACGATGTTCAGCCATATATTTATTTTTTGTATAAACTTTCAACACTTGAATTGAAGAATAACAACAAAAGCATCAGCAAGCATTAGTAGTTGTAGCAACAGCTAGAAAAGAAAAAAAAATTACACAACAAAACGCCTACTACCATCAACACTCAAACGCCTCAGTAAGCTTGTCACGCAAACAAAAGTGTGGCAAAAAATAACACAAAATTCGCAACCATACGACAACTAACAAACAAATAGAAAAACGATATGTAACGTAAAGAGTCTGTTTAGAAGTGTAAAAAAATAAGAATATATCATGTGATAGAGAAGAGGAATTGGTACGAAAGTATCTTTTTTCTGTACAAAACAAATGGAAAATGTACATTTTATAATATCAGTTTTTCACCAGGACTAGACCTTTAAATCGTCTAGTACATTGGTCACTCTATTCACTAGTCTCTGCACAAGTCAGTGAACCAGTATTTCTCCAGAACTAGTACTTTAAATCGTCTATTGGTTACTCTGTGATCTAGTACATTGGTCACTCTATTCACTAGTTTGTGAACTAATCGATGCTAGTCTGTGAACTAGTTTGTGCTAGTCTTTGTATTAGTGCATTCTTTAGTTTGTGGAGTAGTCTATTGTCCGTTCTGTGAACTATTCCATTTGCTAGTCAATCGACTAATATATTTACTAGACTATTGACCACTCGGTGAAGTAGTATATTGACTAGTGAATTGATTAGTCTGTGGACTGGTCTATTGACCAGTGTAATATTCTATAGACTAGCATGTAGTCTGTGGAATAGTCTATTGATTGATATGTGAACTAGTCTATTTACTATACTGTAGATTAGTCTATGGGCTATTCTATTGACTAATCTGTGGATTAGTCTACTGGATATGGACTATTTTCTTGTTTAATCTGGGGGCTTATCTATATTTTAGTCTCTGAATTACACTATGGGCTTATATCCCAGTGGTAAAACCATTGAAAAATGGTTAAAATCAGTCCATTTTTTATAGCTCGGTCCTCAACAGATGACTACTTTGAAACTAAAAAGTACATTTCATTTGCTACATGACATCTCAATTCCAACATACGATTAAAAGTCTAAGAATGATGATAATATTTCTAACCAAACAACAGCAAAAAATATGAACTGAAAGATAACAGCGAAATGAAAAGAGGCAAAAAAAAATAAAAAGAATTTTTCTAACACTTGAAGTTTTGTAATGATGGCGCATGGTGTAAGTCTCATATCTAAATTTTCTAACATAAGTGAGGATGAAAACATAAATACATACGCACAAACGCACACACAGCAACAAACAGATAGACATACAAGACAAACATACAATATGAGAAATAAGTTAAAATCTTGACTGTCCGTGTGTCTATAACAAACGCCAGTATGACTGCGTATGACAGGATATGCGACCACTTTTGCAAATATGACAAAAAACGAAAAAAGAAAAAAATCATAAAACCATTGAGAAAAAATACTTGAAAAAGAGATATTAAGCTTTATAGGGTAACTCCTACAATTTATAAGAGTTTTTCTTTAAATTTTTGTTGTTTTCTGTATGCCATATGAATGTACTTTCGTTTTTGTTTTCCTTCCCATACTTTTTTTGCCCGCGTCTTTTAGTTTTAAGCTGTACATTATGTTCGGGTGTCTAAATGATTCTTATAGTCAGATAGATAGACAGCCATACCATACACATAACACACTTACATACATACTGACAGTTAGATATGGATTGCTAAAACTTACTCATACATTCGCACACATATTGTAACCATATCTAACAAGGATTTATGCTTATCTGTATATTGTCAGTGTAGGTTTCTTCTTCTGAAAGTTGTGTGATGTTATTGTAAGTCTGTGAATTTGTAAGAGTGTTAGATACATATTATTTTCTTTAAGTTTTTCTTCTCTTGATGTTTAGTTTTTTTTTTTTTTTTTTTGCAATTTAAGCTTTTGGTTGTAACTGTGTCATCTTTTTCTATGCTTTTTTTTTTCATTTGCTTTTTTGTTTCTTTTCTTATTATATTTTCTGTCATTCATGACAATGTCGTCTTGATGTCGCACAGTAGTGTGTTTTGTGACTAAACGGCAGGTGGGTTGAAAATATATTCAATGTTTTAAGTGAGAAATTTAATAGTTTTTAACTATATTTACTATACCTCCAATTTGTCAGAGTATTTTTCCATGAAAAACTTAAATTTTTACTTTAAAAAATATTGCTAAAAAGTGCGTACCACAGAGAGTATACTTTATATTTATTTACAACAATATTACTCATACCACATGTAGAACTTCTGCAATATTTAAAGCTTTGGTGTTTCTATATTTTTGATTCAAATTTCTCTCACACATAAACAAGTTATTTTAAAGTCCCGCAAAAAAAATGTATAAAATTTAAAGGTTCAAGAATGGAAGAGAAATAATTTTAATGAATTTACTTTTAAATCGACTGCAAAATACCAAACGAATATTAATATATAATGACCTTGTCCCGGCTTTATGTTTGTCTTTGAATTCAAATGTGGTAACAGCAATTTTTAAATATTCACTTTTTTTATATTTTTTTTATTTTTCTGTTGCACTGTGCATCATTTATGTTCTAAGTTTATATTTTTTCTTATTTATTTATTTGTCAAAAGGCTTATAATATCTTTTCAGTTTTCTTAAAGTTTTAAATAAAACTTTTACTCGACACACATACATTCACACATACATACGTATATAAAAGCGTACTATATGAGAAGTGACTGGTATAGAATTTTGTAGAATAGACAACTCATAACACCCTCAAATATGATACAAATATACCGATATGTCTCTGCATGCGAATACAATGCGTTTGTAGTGCATATTAAGTGAATTCAATACTCAAGCATGAAAACATTCAATAGAATGGTTCAAAACTGAAAGGAGAAAGTTGTAAATATAATCTGATAACATTTTATCGGAATATGACCATAGGGTATGCAGAGACAAAAAACTATTTCTCTCTCTCTCTTTCGCACAAAACGATTTCAATGATCTTCTCACCAAACTATTACAAAATCAAAAAAAAAGCTGAATTTAAACTTTTTTAAATGACAAATTGACAACTCTATCAGAATTAGACCACATTTCAGCAGAAGAAAGAGAATGCAAATCTGAGTACTTTCCTTGTAAGAATCTTCTCTTCAGACGCATTATTTTCTATTGAAAAAAAATAGAAACGTGGTATGTTTTTGTTTGAAGAGATGGTCAGAAATTAGAAATTATTCTTTAGCAAAAGTTGGTCAGATCCAGACCACTTGCCCATAGACAAATTAAATCAGAATTTTACCACTTTTCTGGGCAGGATCTTATAACATATCTTTTGGAAAATTTGGTCAAAATCTGACCATTTGTGTAAAGGAAAAGTTGGTCAGAATCTGATCACTTGTCTAAAGGAATAGTGCTTCATAATCTTACCACTTGTCCATAGGAATAGTTGATCAAAATCTGACTACCTATTGGAAAATTTGGTCGCTATCTGTTAACTTTTCTATAGCAAAAGTTCATAAAATTCTGTCACTTTTCTATAGGAAAAGTGGCTCAGAATCTGTCCAATTTTCTATAGATTGATAGGAATCGGACCAATTTTCCGTAGGAAAAGTTGATTAGAATTTGATCAATTTTTTATAGGCAAAGTGGATCAAAATCTGAACCTGAATCTATATGAAAAGTTGATCAAAATCTGGACAATTTTCTATAGGAAAATTTGATCACAATCTTACCAATTTTCTAATAGGAAAAGTTGTTCAGAATCTGACCAATTTATATATAGGTAAAGTTGATCAGAATCTGAACCTGAATCTATAGAAAAAGTTTATCAGAATCCAACCCATTTTCTATAGAAAAAGTTTATCAGAATCCAACCCATTTTCTATAGGAAAAGTTGATCAGAATCTGACCAATTTTCTATAAGAAAAGTTGATCAGAATCTGACCAATTTTCTATAGGAAAAGTTGATCAGAATCTGACCAATTTTCTATAGGAAAAGTTGATCAGAATCTGACCAATTTTCTATAGGAAAAGTTGATCAGAATCTGACCAATTTTCTATAGGAAAAGTTGATCAGAATCTGACCAATTTTCTATAGGAAAAGTTGATCAGAATCTGACCAATTTTCTATAAGAAAAGTTGATCAGAATCTGACGAATTTTCTATAGGAAAAGTTGATCAGAATCTGACCAATTTTCTATAGGAAAAGTTGATCAGAATCTGACCAATTTTCTATAGGAAAAGTTGATCAGAATCTGGCCAATTTTCTATAGCAAAAGTTGATTAGAATCTGACCAATTTTCTACAGAAAAATTTGATCAGAATCTGACCAATTTTCTATAAGAAAAATAAATCAAAATCAAACCAATTTTCATTTGAAAAAGTAGTGCAAAATCTGACCAATCTTATGCACGAAAATTTGATCAGAATCTGTTCAATTTTCAGAACATGAACCATTTTCTATAGGAAAGGTTGATCAGAACATTAGCAATTTTCTATAGGAAAAGTTGAACAGGACCTGACTACTTTTCCATAGAAAATGTTAAGTAGAAGTGAAACCAGATTTGTTCTTGTTATTCTGGGAATCAGTCTTCTGTTTTTACACAAATAGTATATCTCCAATACAACATACACATGTATGTATATGCAATTGTATTGTTTATAAGAAAATTTGTCCATATATGCATGTATAAAACTGGCACTCATATACATATGTATGTATGTTAAAGCTATACAAGCACACAGGCGTTATAAATAACTAAAATCTATTATAAAATGATTTGTTATTCAATATTTTGCTAAAAGATTAAATTCAAAGTCGTAAACATTTGCATAGATAATATATCATCTCTAAATACACATAAAAATTTTTGTCTAAGTTATTTTTATCCTGTAAAATTACAAACGCAAAAAACCCATAAAATTTAAGATTTTCACATAAAAGTTACTCATCTACTTACCTCAATTTTATTATCATCCAATTCCAATTCAGTTAAACTCCACAATTCAGCAAAGACAGTATCACCAATGAAATTGATATTGTTGTGTGTCAATTTCAAAACATTTAAATTACCCAAACCCTTAAAGATTTCACTTGTTAAAACGGAAATTTGATTATGAGCCAAATTCAAATAAATCAAACGCACTAAATCGGAAAAGAGGCCTTCATGCAGATTTGAAATATTGTTATTATTCATGTTGAGACGTTCACACAGGGGAAGATTGCGGAAGGCATTACGATCGATTTCAAAGATTTGATTATGTTCCAAATTTAAATCTCTCAAACGTATGTGATTGGCAAAGGCTTCTTGGTCCAAGGCCATAATTTGATTATAAGTCATGACAATACGTTCCAATTGATGTAGATTGGCAAAGGCATGACTGCGTACTATTTCCACTTGTGAGTATTCTATAGTTATGCTAGTCAAATTCTCTAAGGGCTTTAGGATATGGGTGGGTATATAGTCCAGACGACCATGATTCTGTATAACAAATTTTAAATCACGTAAACGTGGCTGTTGATAAAATCTAGTCCAGGTGGTATCGTTTTGTAATAGACCATCAGAGAATACCCAACATTCGGCCTTTTGTACAGGTACATGATTTTCATCCGGTGTACAATAACACATAAGTTTCATATCACGACGTCTAACACAAAAACCAGTATCATCGATGGGTCCTTTATACGCCGCTGCCGATGAAATGGAATACGCTGAAGAGGCCACCGATGAGGGTACTGATGAGCCATAGGTATTGTACTGATTGGAGGCGGTGGAGGAGGATATACGATCATTACGTCTTCTGCCTTCTTTATCTCGAGATCTAGATGCCACTGAGCTGATGGAGGTTAAGCAGATAAGTAGTATGAGCACAATTGCCATTGAAGGCTGTATATTTAAACGTGTCGTTAACATGTTTGTTATTTATTTATTTAATTTTGGTTTATTTTGTTTTTATTCTTGTATATAATAAAAAGTATTTTATAAGTGATTTTTAGTTAATGATTAAAATGTCTCGTCTTCCGTTTATAATATTCTGTGGTTTTACACTGTAATGAAAATGGAAAATAAAATATTTATATTAGTATTAGTCTTATTTGGTTTTATACTTATGTCTGTAAAGTGCATGGAAATGTGTGCAATTAATTAAGATTCCTGTATCTTGGTTGTTAAAATCTAAATTATTTATTACATTATTTTATTGTCATTTACATAAAATGTTGTCTCTTTTTACTACCACAAGTCTTAAAATAAATGACATTTTTATGGTTACCCAACATATGTTTTACAGATTTTCATCATCATGCGTAAATAAAAATAATTTTGCAACAAAATTTGTGAGTTTTAAGATTGTGCAAAATGTTTGCCAATAAAATGTTTTCTTTATCGTATATAAAAACATAAATATTTATTTTCAAAACAACTTTAAGTATTTTTATACATATATGGTCTTAATTAATGGTGAATTATTTATAAATTTAACAAGATAAAACAGTTCTAAGAAAAACATATAAAAGATATAATCAGTATTTGAATATCTGCTGTGATACTTAAATTTTATATATTTTATAAAAAGTTTTAAATAATAACTAAAAGTTTTATTTTTCTTAGGACATTTTGTTAGATTAAAGGAAACAGTGTTTATAGATTATGAAATTTTCCTTCAAAGAACATATTCCTAACTTACAAAGCATCTTTGGCAATTGCAAAGCAAATTTCTTTAAAAACATTATTAATTATTTGGTATAAAACAGTTTGCAAACATATTTACTACAGGCACTATGTAACCAGCTATGGGCAATTTTCCAAATCATAAAAACAACAGTGCATATCCTCTGCTTTCTAATCATTCATTAAAAACAAAATCTGTTACTATGCTGAAAATCTCTGTTAATCATATTTTTGTTAATACACTTACGTATAACATTATTTTCATTGCCCACCACTGTTACATATGTATGTTTGTAATTGGGAAATGTTAAAACTTTTACCATATGTGTATGTAGTTTTCTATAACTATATACCAATACATAATATTTATATGCTTGTACATAAATACAGTTATTAAGTTATGCTTTCATATTTTGTTGCATATGTGTTGATGTTGAAATTAAGTTAAAAGTTATTTTATAAAAGATTTTATTTACTTCCACACACATGTACACACGCACACACAGATATAAAATATGTATGTGTAAATATAGCTAAAGGACATAAACAATATTCTATAGATTTATTGAAAAAATTTTGAAAATCTGTGAGTACCGTTGTGAGAGAGGGAATCTCAAATAAACCGGCATGTGTATTAGGGTAGTTGTATAAAATTTTCGGAAGTGGGAAGGGATTGCAAAGGATTAATTTAATACAAAATAAAATTGTTAAATCTCGAGAAATTAAAATCTATATGGACAAGATTAAGCTCCAATAGTCATGTTAAAAGTCTAGACTGTAGTCTTGTCTAATATCTAGACTACAGTTATACTCTACACCATTATAGTGGGAAGGGTATTATGCGTTTGTGCTGATGTTTGTAACACCCAAAAATATTGGTCCTATAACCACCTTAAAGTATACCAATCGGCTCAGAATCTCTTTCTATGTCCGTACGTCTGTGTGTCCATGTAAACCTTGTGTTCACTCTACAGGTCGAAATTTGCAAGATAATTTGATGAAATTTGGCACATACTTTTCTTTTGATCCAAGGACGATGTATAGTAAAATCGGTCTATTATTTCGTATAGCCCCCATACAACCGTACCCCCCGAATAGGGTTTTTGTGCGGATAAATATGTTAAATGTTCTTGAATCTCCACTATAATGGACAAGGCTTAGTTTTATATAGATATACATATTTGATCCTAGCCCCCATTTAAACTCCCCTTCAGAAAATGACTTGAATGTCAAAACGGACTTATAAACACTAATATCACTATGAAATTCTGCATAAATAACTTTAATGTAGAGGCAAAACCCTCTACCAAAATTTATAAGCATAGGCCCATATTTGTCCTTGCCTCCGTATTCACATTTTTGTCAACAAATTGTTAAAATATTTCGAAATTAAGGCAATAAACTACTTAAATGGTTTGTTATTTAAAATAAAATACATTTTTTATATACTACTCAATGGTGTATGGCATCATATGGTCGGCTATGACCAACTAAACATGTTTTTTATATAGTCTAGACTCTAGACTATATTCTTATATATAACTCAAGCCATAGCCTTGTCTATAGTCTAGTCTATTGTCTATTGTATAGATTTATCTATAGGACATACTGTAGTATTGTCTTGTCTATAGTTCAGACTGTAGTCTTGTCTATAGTCAAGACTATAGTCTTGCAGCAGACTATAGTCCAATTTATATAATCTAGACTAAAGTGATGTCTACAGTACAGAATTTAGTTTGTCGGTATTTTAGATTATAGTCTCTCCTACAGTCCAGATTATAATCCTGTGTATAGTCAAGACTGTAGTCTTGTCATACTGTCTTGAGCTATATAATCCAGCCTATAGATCTGTCTATAGTATAACCCATAGTATTATCACATAGTATTATCACATATTCAGACTATGGCTTTGCCAATAGTATATTGTACTGATGTTAGTTGTTTCTATAAGTCTTTCTTGTCTATAGTCCAGACTATAGTCTTGTTTATAGTCCAGAATATAGTCTTGTCTATAGTCCAAACTAAAGTCTTGTCTACAGTCCAGACTATAGTCTTGTAGCAGACTATAGTCCAATCTATATAATCTAGACTAAAGTGCTGTCTACAGTACAGAATTTGGTTTGTCTGTATTTCAGATTATAGTCTCTCCTATACTGCAGATTGTAATCATGTGTATAGTCGAGACTATAGTTTTGTCATATGTCGAGATTATAATACTGTCTTTAGCTATACAATCCACCCTATATATATTATCCTTTGTCCTGATGTTAGTCTTTTCTATAAACAAGACTGTAGACTTATATATATAATATTGTTTATAAACCTGACTATATTCTTCTCTATTGTCTTGTTAATAGCCTGGACTAATTCTAAAACTGTAGTCTCGATTATTGACAGGACTGTTCTGGACTATAGTTTTGCCTATATCCGAGACTGCTTTAGTATTATCTATTGTTGAGACAACTCACCTTTCTTGGTATTAAGGTTGTGGTTGTAATATAATGTGCCCAGTGGGCCACTTTTGGTAAGCAGAACTGTCGCTGTAGGATGGACCAAACTTAATGTTACGGTGCCCAAATATATCTTAAAAATCCGATAGATACTAGAGAATAGATAGAAAGTTTGTACCTCCTTAATACAAGGATATGATTTAACTTTGGCATATACATATGCATGTATGAAGAAAAAAATGTGATTGTGTATTTTAATATTTACCTTTTATATACATACTTTTTTTTGGTACTCATATACATCACTGTATATACGTTAAAAATAGATGTGAGTAAAGTTAAAGATTAAAAAAATATATATCAGAATGTGTGTAAATATTTCCCATATATTCAATACAAAATTTCAATGTTGATGACAATTACAATCATGTTGACAACAATAATGTGCGAATATTTTATTGAGGGAATGAAAAGTACACACCAAGAAAAAAAATATATACATATATAGGTGTATATTTACCAATACACATATATTAAGTATTAGGCTAATCCACAAATATAAGGAGAAGCTAGAAATATGTTTTCTAATTATTTAGTTATTTTAATCATATTACTGTTGTTGCAACCAATAATTCAGTTGTTAACATCAAACCACACAAACTTAAGAGCAAATTGCGTTATTGCAATTTAAACTAGGTTTACTTATTCTACGTATTAAGCTGAAAATGATAAAAGTTTAGATTTTTCCTATTTTTTCCGGAAACTACTAACAAATGTTTTATTAACATTTTTTTATAAAACTCGGTCTAATTAATACTTTAATTAAGTCTCTTCTAATAAAACAGCAACTCATGGAAAAAATTTGCAAATTTCATAAAAAGTTATGGGGTTTTTTTAACATCTAGGGACGAAATGTGCCACTGTTAAAGGTTCCGTTTTTATAATATTTATTTATATATGCACATAATATATGTGTGTGTGTGAGTTATTATTTGCATATGTAGGTATGTGTGAGTAATATAAGAATAACAATATTTCGTTATAGTATGGTTTGGTGGAGAATTGATAAGAACAAAAAAATAATAATATCATCAATCATATATGGTGGCAATTTGTTTATAATAATATTTTTTTTTATGTATTCTTTAACCCACTACATGCATATTGATATGAATGAGTTTTTATATAAATTTGACAATTCAAACACATCTACATACAAACATGTATATATAAGTATAAAGCAATGATAAAAAGTTGTTACCACACATAATGATAATGTACTAGTTTTAATATTCTTCGTTTAAAAATGTATAACTGAATCAATACTTGAATAATTAAGTGAATCAAAATTCTTATAATTCAAAACTTTTCTGCATAAATTTTAAAATGTTAACATATATTTCAAAACTCTACTTTATATTCTGTTAAAATAATTTAAACTTTTTTAAAGGCAATTCCCTTAAACGTTACACTTAATTAAACCAACTTTTTGTGAAACAATAAACTCATATTTTTTTTGTTGTTGCAAAAAACAACATGAATTATGTAATATTTTTCTTAAATGCTAAATATTAAATAAAATTAAAATCCATTTAAGTATAATAAATTGCACACTTTACATTTTTATCTTGTGCGGTTTTTATATTGTACTACACAATTTTTATGAAATTTTTTGATTGAAAAAAAAAAGAACGGAGAAAAAATATGAATCTTTCTTGTTCTTGAAGATTTATGAGACCTTTATAAGAAACACAAAAAAGCTAAAAGAAAAAAAGGAAGTATACAAAACGCGTTTAAAAATCTGTTGATTGTTAAATATTACAACTAAATTGTCCTTCTTTTTTTTTTTGTATGTATAAGTAAAAGCATTTTTAAACGAAATACACTTTTCTTGGGCACTTTTATGATGATGTTGCCAGTTGCCTTTA